GACCACCTGCCTTTTCTACCTTTGTTATCCAAAAGTTTTCTAGAGCTGGTCTGGGACTCCCTACAACCATTACCTTTAGATATCTGGGTGAGAAGTTATAGAGCTTGTTCAAAAAAAAAAAAAAAAAGGGAAAAAAAACAAACTGCTGGATGAGGGGTACTTTTAAAGGCTTGGTTGGTTTTGACATATATTCCCTGCCCCTGCAGTAAAGATAGGGGTGGGACCTGTGCCTGTCCATCTGCACTGAATGCCTGAGTCCAGATGGACTTAATAGTTTATTCCTAATATATCATTGAGTACCTGCTACATGCCAAGTCCTGTTTTTGGCACAGTTACACAACAGGTCATGGGACACACAAGTCCCTGTGGCCTACTGGTAGATAGGAAGAATAATTTCTGGTGTTCTAGGCCGACTAGAGCTAATAATATTGTATTTTTCTAAATAGCTACAAAAGAGGATCTTGAACATAATCACCACAAAGAAAAAATAAATGTTTAGGTGATAGATATGCTCTCTACCCTAAGTGAATCCTTGTACAATGTGTACAGGTATTGAAGCAACACACTGTACCCACAAATATGTATTTAATTTAAAAATAAATTAAAATTTAGAAAAATCAAGCAGGGAACGGGGAGAGAGTGTGACAGGGGTCAAGAGAAGGCAGTGTAGAGGGGTTGCTTCAGAAAGGAGTGGTGAGCTGTGATCCTGCAGAAGAGGCATCATCTGACCTAATCTCTGTAGCCTTTGCCAGGTGCTGACTCAGCAAATTTGAACTCACTTCAGCTTCCTCCAGATCCCGAATGGAAGAACCACTTTATGAAAATTATGGGAACTCGGTTCTCACCACTGCACTAGGGCAGTGAGAGCAGCTGTTATTCTCTCATTATTCACCATTTTGCTCTCTGGTTAATATAAGAAGGTCAAGGAGGAGAAAGCTCTGATGCTCAGTGATCCAAAGGGTCCCACGGGGGGTATGTGAGCTAACAGCCCGGCTTTATATCTGCTCCACAGGTGGAAGCAATGGCAACGGTAGTGCCTTATGATAAAACAGGATTTTGGCTGCTGGCATTAGGAGAAGATTAGCTTTTGCATAGGGGGATCTAGCAGCTTCCTTTGAAACGACCCAGTTCCATGTCCCTTTAGGCTATACCACATAGGAGAATCGGAGCCCAGAAGTCTTCTCTCAGTGTTAGCTGGCCTTGTGTCTGTTCTTGAGTGGGTGCCAATTCCCCAGTTTTCGTAACAGCAGGGAAACAATTTTCAAAGTTCTTTCTCAATGTTTCCTTACACAACATGGTTTTGCTAGCCAGAAACAAAAGGATGCCACCTATGTTGTCATGAGACTTCATATTTATTCAGCAAATACTTACTGAGAATACTCTAACCATCTGGCATTAGGCTACTGTGTGGATCCTACTCCTGATTTTGTGACTTTGGGCAAGTTACTTAAATTCTCAGAGTCTTGGTTTCTTTGTCATATGCATATGTTATTTGTAACATGAGATTAACCATGTATTTACCACCTAAAGCCATTAAGATCATGCTGTTAAACAAAACAGACAAGATATGTCCCACTGCCTAAAACCTAATAAATAATGAATTAATGCCATTATAGCAATGATGATGATGATATTGATGATAAAGTTACATTCCTTCATTTAACAAATATTTACTGAATACCAACTATAAGCCAGCCAGGGTTTTATGTCCTTGGAAACATAAGTTGACTTTGTGGAGCTTACATTATAGTGTATCAAGCCATTCCTTAACACTTGGTTTAGCACAGAATTCTGTGGAGAATAGTAGTTTGTAAATAATTTGTATCAAGTCCAAAAGCAATTTAAAAGTCAATTAATAGGCTAAAGTCTGGTATTAGGCAAAACAAAAACCAAAAAACAAGTTTTATATTTTAAAAATTTATAGAATGTAGACTTCTAAATCATCTTTCTACCTGGCAGTAAGCTAGGATTGAGCAAACCCTATTTTCCAATTTGACAATAAAGCCACATGTCTGACAAGGGGAGTATGCTTATGAAACAGTAATTGAATTGGGGATTGTCTCAGGAAGTCTAACACATATGGTGCCCATGTCTATGAAATTGCCCAGGGGAAATTAGAAAGAAACGCATCCTGTGTGTTGTTCACTGAGATCAGTGTATTCCCACAGCAAAGCTAGCTTTCAAATGTGCCTTTTGCACTTTAGCCTGTACTAAGATGCATGTGTGTCAGAGGAGGCAACACTGAGATATCTTGCAGAAATATAAAGCTTTAATTCTAACCATGTTGCCGCAGTTTACCAGACACTTTTCCCAGGCTTCAAAAGGACATTCTGTAGACTCCTATGATGTAAGAGGGTGTTCCCACTTCAGCCGTGGCCAGCAGATGCTCTGTGAACACTCTGTGTCCACGTGTGCTGATAAAAGCAAGGAAAATGTGAATAATGGAAAAGAGTGGCAGGCAATTCTTTTCTGGCTGTGGTGATTTTAAACACAAGCTAAACACACACTTAAGTTTCTCCCTGGCAAAGTGTTGTAGTCCCCTTGAAATTTTTCACTCTTGTGAGAATGACTCATGCCTTGGAAATGACAAGTTCCAAGTCTGGTGCTCCCAGCACCTTTAGGCACTGGGTAATGTACACTTTGGGAGTTTTCAGCATCCAGTCAGCTGTGTTAATTAACAAAGGATGCTGTACTAACTTGCCTTTCGCTGAAAACTCAGCATTTCACCATTCCTCAACAGTCTGAACCTTCCATTTGTGTTATGGTACTTTTATCTGGCTCTCATATTACACACTGTGGTGTCCTATATAGCTGCTAGAAGTAGAACACAGATTTTATTTTTGTTTTGTTTTTTAAGCTGCCTAGTTAACTGATACTTTAAACTGCATTGTGTTTCTGATTTTTTAAAACACTTTCACAAACACTATTTTATTTTGTTTTTTACCACAGCCCTGTGAAGGGTCTTGGACAAATACTATCATCTCCATTTAACAAAGGAAAATGATGTCCACAAGGTAGAATCCTGGTCTCCAAGCTACTTTGCATTACATAGGTTATACTAGTTAGGGTGAACTAAACTCCAAAATGCATAATGGGTAAACAAACAAACCAAAATTTAGAAATTATTTCTTGCTAATTTAAGAGTCCAAAGCAAGTATTCCTGATTAGTGGTTGGCTTCCTTCCATGTGGCAATTTGAGGACCGAGCTGTCCCTACCTTGGGGCTGTGCAATGCCTTACAACCCTGTTGATTTTATCAAGCCTGCAGCAAGGAAAGACAGACTGGAGGAGGCATATCCTCTCTCTTAAAAGACCATGCTGGAAGTGGTGCATCCCAGATTTACAAAGGCTGGAATGCCATGGCCTTACCATGTGGTCTGTACTCAGGAAGGAGAGGTAACAACATAATTGGTGAGAAGCCACACTGAAGTTTCCCAAAAATATAATGCATATCCACTGAGGGCCACCTTGCTGCACAATTACAGGGAATAGAATGTGAATATGGGGTGCAACTCCTGTGCTGAGTAGCATGGTGGCCACGGAACTGTTAATAACCAAGATGATACTGTGTTCTATGTGGACATTCAATTTTATGTTTTGATGAGGATTAGGAAAATATAAACAGCATGTCAAGCAAGAGATTTTGCAGAGATAATTGCCTAGCCTAAGTTTCCTTTTAAAATAAATTAGTTCAGCTTTCAATACTTAGTGAATTGAAAAGATTAAGTACTAATTATATGGAAATATGGCAAAAACCCCAAAGTTGATGTGAATGACTAAAGACGGGGATACTGCATTTATATCAATTATGTCCCTTAGGATAGTTCATTCTTGGAACAGCAAGAAATTAAAACTTTAGGGAAAAAAATTAAATAAAAAGCGTTTACCAAGAACTCCTTTAATGCTCAGCATAGGAAATGCTTTGGGAAATACAGAAAAATGGTTCTCTTGTCTTTGAGTTGTTTAAAACTGTATTCAGGATATACACAAAATTTAGAGATGAGTACAAACTGACTATTATTAAGAGCTGAAATGTGTTTCAGGTTTAATGTCCTACAGCTTTTAATAAAATGGAAACTTACCTGTTGAAATTAAGCATGAGGTTATTTTATCTTTAATTTGCTCATTATTTCTTCAAACATTTATTGAGTTTGCTATGTTTCAGTAAAGTTCCTGATTCCCAAGATCTAACTATTAGTGTTGGTCATGGTGAACGGAGGGGACAGATGTCTGAAAATAGGAGTACAATTTAGAATTACAAGGGTTTTGATGAATATTTGTTCAGGATACTTAGGGATAAAGACTTTTTTAATGTCAATAGGGACTTTGGAAATAATCATGTCTAAACTCCCCATTTAACAGATTTTTTAAAAAGCCCAAAAACTTAGGCCCAGAGAGGTAAAGAGACTCACCCAAGGTCACACAGCCTGTTGATGAACTAGCTAGTACTAGAATCTAGGTATCTTGATCTGCAATCTCAGCTGGCTGCATGAAAAGAATGTAAGCTGAGGGATTTACATTGGAGATGAGATAGAATTACAGATGAGAAATTTTGCAAAATCTCCTGTGGATTTTTCACTGGTCAGTATGGGGTGAGGTGTGGTGAGGGATGACATGGGGCAGGAAGAAAGATTGCTTTGGATGTTAGGAAACTTAGGGCCTATCCATGATCACATAACAGAGTGCAGCCGTAGACAAATGGTCTAACACACTAAAAACAGTTCTTCAGGTATTTTAGTAGATTATGGTTTTAATAGCTCCCTGTATCATCATCCAATTTGATTCTTGAAACGGCCCTCTGAGATGTGCCAGAAGAGCATCCTTATCCCTATTTTGCAGATGAGCAAACTGAGGTGCAGAGAGTCACACAGTGAATTAAGAGAGAAATTGTATAAGAACCCCTGCATGCTTCTAGTCTAATGCCCTCCCCATGATACCACGTACATAACAAGCATGAGACAAAGAATGGTTAACCAAGAGTGTCATCTGATTATATTACAGATGCATTGTGAGAGGTTTATATGTATCCTGAGAATAATTGGAACCACACTTTTTGGCGTCTCTCTCCTCCTTGGAATCACAGCTGCTTATATTGTTGGCTACCAGTTTATCCAAACGGATAATTACTATTTCTCTTTTGGACTGTACGGTGCCTTTTTAGCATCACACCTCATCATCCAAAGCCTGTTTGCCTTTTTGGAGCATCGAAAAATGAAAAAATCCCTGGAAACCCCCATTAAGTTGAACAAAACAGTTGCTCTTTGCATCGCTGCATATCAGGAAGATCCAGACTACTTAAGGAAATGTTTGCAATCTGTGAAAAGGCTAACCTACCCTGGGATTAAAGTTGTCATGGTCATAGATGGGAACTCGGAAGATGACCTTTACATGATGGACATCTTCAGTGAAGTCATGGGCAGGGACAAGTCGGCCACTTACATCTGGAAGAACAACTTCCATGAAAAGGGTCCCGGTGAGACGGATGAGTCACATAAGGAAAGCTCGCAACATGTAACCCAATTGGTCTTGTCCAACAAAAGTATTTGCATCATGCAAAAATGGGGTGGAAAAAGAGAAGTCATGTACACAGCCTTCAGAGCACTGGGACGAAGTGTGGATTATGTACAGGTAGGTCTCCACATTCCTGCCAGGGCAAACATACATTTAAATAAAGCAGCTTTTGTATCTCTCCAGTCATATGCTATAGCCCATCCTTGTCCCTCCTGAACACAGTGCTCCTTTCAGTTCATTTGAAAACAGCACGACTGTTGAAAGCACATTTTGAAAGGGAGAGAAAAAAATCTAGCAAAACTGTTAAGACTATCTATGAAAATGCTCAACTGGTGCAGTGTTATTGGTTAAAAATCAAGATTATTTTGAAAGGAGACCCTTCCTTCCCTTCTCTCTCCCTCCCTTACCTTCTCTGCCCCCTTGATCCTGCCAAATCAAATCCAACGTCATTTTCCACACTCTTAAACTTCCAGCTTTGTAAGAAAATAGTGTCTGCTCTTTTCTCAAGGGTCTTGAGAACATCTGCAGGCTGAAGGGAAGGCTATAAAGTGTTTTTCACAGAGATTGGGCAAAGCGGGGGTAATGAGAACAATTTTGATCTAAAAGAGCAAGGAATTCAAACTTGACAGAGAAAAAGAAAAGGAAAACGAAAACAAAAAGAAAAAAAAGTCTTAGAGCAAAACCAAAGCAATGTTTATTTCACTCTCCAAACAGCATTACCTCACTCACTGCAACTTGACCTTTGAAAGCATTTGTGATGGTGATTGCTTGCATGAAAATTAGACAGGCTGTGTCTCTCCTTAATTCCCTGACACCTCACTGCAGGGTTTCTTCTCTCCTCTTTCTCACTGACTCTTTCTTCTTTAGAGCATTACTAGGTCCCTATGAGTTTTCTAGTTTTAATCTTCTCATAGACACTTTAGTTAAATTTTGGCCATGATGATATTGAGAAGGGAGAAATGTCTCTGGTTTAAGAAATCTCCTGGGACTCTCTCCCTCTCCTCTTAAAAGCGAAATCCTAATTTTCAGAAGTCCCATCCTATTCTTTAAGGGCCTTTGTTGACACAAAATTCTGCCCAGTAGGTCTTGATGGGTGTAACGAGATGGGAGTGAGCACTGGCTTTATAGAGTCAATTGACTAAGGTTCTAACCACAGCTATTACCAGCTGGTGTCCCTTGAGCAAAACCACCTGCCTTAGCCTCAGTTATCTGGATAGAATAAACCAATCTTACAAGTGGTTTGAGATAATTATTTCAAATAATATATCCCAAATGCTTAGCAAAAGTTACTTATAATATTATTGTTAATATAATTAAAGCTTTTACTGTTAATATTACTTATTATATTATCATCTAGTCCTTACTCAAAAACTGTAGTATCTGTCAGTTGCCACCATAGGGTTAATTTCAGTTAATTATCTAACAGTTTTGAGGCATTTCATTGACAGCAATCTGCGCATTAATTTCACTTCTAGGGAGTTGGTAAGAGTTTCTGATATTTCTCCTAATTTCTCAATGGTGGAACTTCCACAATTAAGATAATTTCAATAATCTCAGGACATTCAGTATTTACCTAGAGCAATGTGGGGCCTAGATGAGAGGATGACACGATATTTTAAAAGGAAGGAATTCCCGGGGAACTTAACAGAGGATATGAAGGATGCAGCTATGGGCCTAAAAAGAGAAAACATCTGTTTTGATGTTTTGCCCTTAATTCTAGTTAAAACTGCTACATTTGTCATTTCTAATCAAGGCATCATTGTGTGTTTTTTTCTTTTCCTTTTTTTTTTTTTAACCTGCTCCTCCCAAAATCCCTTTTCCCATCATTCTTGTTTTGAATTTTGTTTGTATCCTTGACAACTTTACACTGTGCCTGTCCAGGAAAACATAATACAAAATATGAAATGTTAGAGTAGGCTTCCTGCTGCAGCTCTAATTGAGCTTGAGAACTTTCCTTCCTCCAGGCTGAAGCCTCCAGATAGACTGACCCAAGCAGCTGCTGTTAACTAGGCTCTGATGCTCTTGGGATTCTCAGCCAGTTCTAAGCACTCAAACGAGGGCAAAAAATACCTAAGCATCCTGATATTTAGCCATGTTTGACCTACAAAAATGGCAATTTCATAAGGCTCATACTAAACACTGAACACTTTCATCTTCTATTCTGACTAACCCAGTGTTTGAGAATTGCAAAGCAGAAGCCACAGAAAGACAAAAGGGAGAGGGGTCTGAGGATGGTGGTTACTAATCATTACAAGTGATTAAACTTGGAGTGCAGGCTAATTAGGGAATGAAGGAAGCAAAGTTCAGCTGGTAATACACCAGAGAAAAAAGGGACTGGGGAAGAAATTGATGATCTGCTCACATGCTTGCTGGAAAATTGCTGTCTACAGAGGTGGCCAAAAATGTTGGTTTCCAGTTGCAGCTGGGTCCTGGGTGCTCAGCAGCACTTGATTTTGAATAGATGACTTGCTTATTGCTCTCATGACCTATTATTTCATACCTTCCCCACTTTCCCAGCACCGTATCCAAACTTCTCCCTGCTTAACTACTAACAGATGACCTTGCCTCCTGCTAAAGAGAAAATCAAAATTACTGGTTCTGGGTGCTGTCAAGATTATTTTTACTCTCTTCTGGTTACACAGTTTCAAGAGCACCCAACCTCACTTCCTGTCTCAAGGTTGTCTTTTCTACTGACACTCTTGGGACCTCTGGGTTTACTTTCTTTGGTCTCCTCAAGAACAAGCCTTTATCTATTGCCATCTCTCTTTCTATCTGTCTCAGCCTTGTAGCCATTCAAATAATTAATGCTGATATGGAACACTTAGGGACCTCAAGTCTAGAAAAAAGCCAGGGTCATAGAAAATTTCTCTGATGATGCCGGTGAGAAAATTTCTCTGATGATGCCGGTGGTTGCTTTCAGAGATAGAGAAGACAGAAAAACAGAAGAAGTAAAATAACGAAGTGAGAAAAGGAGATAAAAGGAATGATTTTTTTTAAATGAAGATTTTTAAAATTAAGAATCAATGCATTTTCTGGAGAAACTTTGATTTTCAAAAATGGACAGATTCTGACCTGTCTGGGTATGGTTTAAAGTAGGGCAAAAGTCTTGCTTACCTCTTCAGAATAGTGTTTATACTGGCTTTATTTTTATTTACTAAAGTAGCACACACATTTATAATAGCATGTTTTAAAAATATTAAAAAGCACAATTAGCAAAATTAAAATTATCTGCAACAAATACGTGACTGATAGATTAACGCTTTCCAGTGTATACATTTCTGGTTTTCACTTATTTTTAAAACAGTTTGAGACTATTTTTTTTGTATCCTGTTATAATTTTTATGTAACATAATCAGAAGACTTAATATATAACTTGATATCTGGAAATGTATAATTGCTTTATTCATATCTTTTATCATTGAATATGTATATTACAAGTTAAGTGGCTGCCAGTCTATATGACAAAAAGAAAAAACAAAAACAAAAACAATATCCCCTGATGTGTGCATTAGGGTTTTCCCAAGTAGAAAATATACAATAAATATGATTGTTTTTCTAAGAGGGAATATTTAAAAAGGCAATTTCATTATTAATTTAATCTGGCAGCATCCTGAGTATTCAAAATTATTTGAATGGGGAGAAAAGTAAGGCTATATCATTCATAATAGTACAGTTGACCCACATTATTCATGGATTTTTTATTTCCAAATTTCCCCTCTCCCTAAAATTTACTAGCAATCCCCATCAATACTTGCAGTGCTTTGGCGGTCATTTGTATACATGTGCACAGTGCAAAGCAATTTGAGTCACCTAATGTTCATGTTCCAGTTGAAGACAAACAAGATGATACTTTGCCTTCTTGTTTCAGCTTTTATTCTGTAAACAATTATCTTCTTCATGGTCTATTTAGTCCCATAGTTTTCACATATTTTTGTGCTTTTTGTTAGTGAGGTAGCTGTTTAAAATACCCCCCAAATGTAGTACTGAAATACTGTCTAGTGTGCCCCAACCCAAGAAGGCTGTGATATGCCTTGTGGAGATGAATTTCCTTCAGGCATAAGTTATCATGCTGTTGGACATGAGTTCAATGTTAATGAGTCAACAATTTATATTAAATAAGGCATATTTAAACAGAAGCACAAATAAAACAAGGTTATATATTAATCAGTAGACAAAAATGTTATGACCAGAGTCTCAGAGGAACCTAACCCTGTATTTCTGCTACAAGCAATTTTTCAGTATTTGCTAATTCAGTGCTCATGGCAACTTTATAAAACATAACTGTGTCATGAATAATGATAAAGTGTGTGTAACATTTGACTGGTTCCTGTTCTGAATAGGAAGCCTAAGCAACTGAGATATTTCAAGGGCCAGTGTTGAGAATAGTATGTTTCTTTGTATGCTTCATTTTGGAGGATAAGATTAAGAGCACACTAAAATAGGAATGAGGAAATCTGAATTCTAGACCCAATTCTGTTGTTTACTTGCTATGGGCCTGGCTTCAATTGAGTCATCAATTGAGCTGGTAGAACAGACAGATTTCTAAGACCCCTCCCAGCTCAGTACTCTTAACTCACTACTGTTTTAACTCCTCTGACATCTTAAGTCCTTCTAGCAACATACTGAGGCTCTAATAAAGCGAGATCGAAAAAAAACCAAAAAGGGATATCAAAATTTTCTTTTCATTTATCAGTTACTGTCATGTTTCTCACTTCCACTTTTAATCTACTCTGTCCCTCCAAGCTGGGTTCCTGAATATACATCTGGATTTAAGGGCTGCCATTATGGGCTTTTCTGATTTCCTTCCTTAGAGAGAATTCCAAACATTTGGAATAAGGGTGTTTCATGGCTTAAGTCTTAGAGGTAACAACATTTGGTTTCCTACTTTTCCATCTGGTTGTCGCCTTTGTTTTGCACCTTCTATAAAGTTCACTTGTGTTTAAGCTTTCCTCGAAAAGATAAAAGAATAATCAAAGGATTCTTTTCATCACTTTAATGTGTGGAAGAGATTATAGGTTGATGGTACGTAGGAATTCTTTTATAACAATTTGGATAATTCATTCTACCAAGGAAGGCTTGTATCTTTCTAATTCCCTTTAGGAAAAGGAGCAAAGAAA